CGGGGCCTCCTCGGGCCTGCGGCGGGCTCGGCGCGCGCTCGGGGGCCGCGCGAGGGGCCGGGGGCGCCCGGGGAATTGGACGCGCCCGGGGCGGCGGCGGCTGGGTGCGCAAGAAGGGCGCCGGAAAAAACTGCGACCGTTCTAGCCGTGTGTGTGCGTGCGTGTGTGTGTATGTGTGTGTGTGTGTGTGTGTGTGTGTGTGTCCAGCGTGTTACCAGCGCTTGGCCGCCGCCTGGGAGACGACCGAGGCCGATGCTGACCCCGAGCACGGGGACCTCAGCGCTGCCCTCGCGTCAAGAGAGGCGACGCTGCACATTCATTAGCGAGGGAAGCCCCAAGCGTCTTGTTTACTTTCAAGTTGCTTCCTAGGTGTCCACGCAGAACACATCCTGGGGACACCATCCGTGACCAAGGCCAGACAGAGCTCTCAGCGGGCCGGTGGAGGGGCAAGTGGGGGATATCAGGGGCTTTGAAATGGTTCTGTCAATGATTCTCCTCTGCTCCTAACCATTTCGGCACTGGGTTAGGGCTGTCCGCTGCGGAGGTCGATGGGGCGACTTTCAGGCCCACAGTCCCAACACCAGGGTGGGTGGGTCTCTAAAGGCCTCCACAGTCGCCTAGCAGCCAATCCTAGATGGCCACACCTTCTCAAGTTAGTTGCACACACACACACACACACACACACACACACACACACACACACACACACACACACACAGATGTACACACAAGAATGCATATTTTTTAATTCATCAGCATTAGGAGCCCCTCGGAGAAAAGCACAAGAGTGCAATCAAATTGCACGTTAACTATTTTCATCCCTCAGAGTCTTTGACAAATAAAGCGCTCCAGAAAAAGTGTTTACTACAAGCACAGCAGCTTGCTTAATAGGGCTCCAATACAAATACATAGGGACTCTGGATTATTGTGGTCTTAGAAATACAACAAATGAGCACTGTACTGTATACAGATACACTATCTGACTATTTTGTCTGGTTCCTAGTCTAAAATCAAAGCATTTATTCCTAAGCGAAATAAGCACAGCAAATGATTCCCCTTTCTTCATCTTTCATACCCAATCAGCCCCATGCCAACCTCTTGCATGTAGGAATGGGTGCCTGGTCTAAACTTTGTATATAGGCAAGAGGGAAAGAAGGAAGATGCTCCGTTGTCTTCTGATGGCTGTGACAGAGTCCCCCTTTACCCATGGCAGTGGCCGAGAGGTGTTCCGGGTTGCAGATAGACAGTGGCTATAGATTGACCTGAGATACATGTTCCCACAGAAATAGTAGGAACCCGCCTAATGCCACAGCATTCTGGTTTAAGGATCTTCTCAGAGCCTTGTCTTAAACCCCCAAAATGACTTGAGGAATTGAAAGCCTTAGTGCTTCTGAGACCCAGCATTTGAGTGAGGAAATGAAAGGGCAGAGCTGGAAAAGAGATTGTACTTCTGCAAAGGGGACAGCCGGAACGAAATATACCCCCATTCCCAGAGAAAGAAAAGCTTCCTTGTTTCTTCCTCTCCTCTGCTCCATAGAGCCTCACATTGCAGATGTCTCCAGACTGATTCCTTCTGTGGGATCTTGAGCATAACCATTCTCAGGACCTGTTTGCATTACAGTCCTTAACTAAGGTTTATATTCCCGGGAAAGGTTCTGAACACTCTTTCAATGGAAGGAATGAAACCCTTCCTCCATTCAGAGTCCATCTTTATTAGATTCCATTTGAAAGAGTAAGCTCAAATGTTTTCCTCAGAAGTGTGTGAATTAACTCTTTGTGTCTGGGCTTTGGTGAGATGGTAGAGGGAGCACTGGTCTGAGTCAGGAGTCCTGGGTTTGAATCCTAGATCTGTGACGGAGGCCTTCCAACTATTGCAAATGTTGCACTGTGGGCTTTTCATTTCCCAAGATGTCTTCCGCTTTTAAGAGCCAATGGACAACCTTTTTGCCAGCTTTGCCTGGCTGGATTCTAGGAGGGTAGATTGTAGGAGGCCTGTGTTTTCCTTCTTTATTCTCCAGTCTGCCAAACAAAAAGCTTTTTATTGCCAGTTTTCGCCACCTACTGGTTAATGTGTAACAGTATCATTCACAAGGTTCTTTTCATCCATCACCAATATAAATATTGCCAGAGTTTATGAAATTCAAAAAAAAACATTATTCTAATCTGGATGTACTAGTGTTTAATATAGGTATGTATTAAATCTTCCCAACTATTAAGTTTTTTGTTTAAGGATAGAAAGCCACCATTAACTGAGAGGGAGGTGACAAATGATCGGTAAGATGAAAGAGTTAAAAATATAAGACAGGACCCCAAACCATTTAGGCAAACTGAAGTGGAAATAAATCCATAAACAAAGCAAACTGACTAGAGAGAGTAAAAACAAGTAGTCCATATGGTTTTCATGAAAGAAAAAAAATGAACTACTTAAAAACTAACATCTCACAGACCTAGATTAAAAAATCCAAAACACTAATTTCCAATTTCAAGTATCTTCTCAATTAGTTCCAGCTTTATTGAGATATAATTGGCATCAATCTTATACATTATAAACTCTTATGCTAAGTAGTGCCACACTCTCTCAGATGGTTGGCATACTTTGTTGGCAAACATTATATAATAATGTTACTAATTAGCTACTAATATTAATACTAACAGTAATGTCTCTGATTCATTTATGCTCTAGAGCCTGTTGTTTGTAAGAGTGATCACATCCAAGTCATCTGCTGTGTGCTCTCAAACTATCCTTGTCATCATCAGGAAACTCTTGCCAAATCGAAACCAACAAGCCTTGGTTGAACTGAGAAACCCACCTGCCTAATTTATGGTGGGTCTTAAAACCTCAAAAAATATTTAGAATAATTAAGCAACAGCCTTTGAAACTAGGCAATGAAAAGCAGATAAATCATTCCTTGTGCAAGTTTAATAGTGGGCAAATAATGTTTACTTTTGGTTTACAAAGGAAAGTGCCAGAAATTCACTCGTGGCAATTTTTTCCTTTCAAATTAATGGCTTGGCTTTAAACATGAAATAAGAGCAGGAACTTATATTTTTCAAATGCCTACTGCTGTCGTTGGATTGAAACTGCAGCAATAAAACCAAACAGCATGAAACACCATAGTACTAAGGGGGTAATTGGCAAAGAATTTACATTCTTAATGTGCAAAAACTAACTTTTATTCTCATAATGCTATTTAGCACAGAGCACAGTATCTCCCAGATGTTAATTCCTGAGGAACACATTTAGAAAAAGCAAGGTTAATATGTTTGTTTCCTAGGGCTGGCATAACAAAATACCACAAACTGGGTAACTTAAAACAGAACTTTATTCTCCCCCAGTTCTATAGGCTTAAAGCCCCAAATCAAGGTGTCAGCAGGGCCATGCTCCCTCTGAAGTATCCAGAGAAAAATCTTTCGTTGCCTCTTCCAGCTTCTGGTGGTGGCTGTCCATCCTTGGAGCTCCTTGGCTTATAGATGCATCACTCTGATATCTGCATCTGTTGTCACATGGCCTTCTCCCTGTGTGTCTGTTTTCTATTATAAGGTCAACAGTCACATTGGATTAGGACCCTAATAACCTCATCTTCACTTAGTTATTTCTGTAAAGATCCTATTTCTGAATAAGGCCACATTCACAGGTACTGGGGGTTAGAATGTTAACATCTTTTGAGGGCACACAAACTGACCCCATAATAAGATATATCTAATATAGTCTCTCTCGAACAAATGAGGATTGTTTATTCCAGGGCCCAAGGACTCAGCAACCCCTAAATTTCAAGGGGAACCACGATAGAATTCCAACTCCTTTTGCACCACATGATGTGGCCCAAGCCTATCACCTGGGTGCCCTGCCACTTTCCCTTCTTACAGCTTTCTTACCTTTGTGTTCTTTCTGGCATATGCCAAGCTCTCTCATGACTTTTGCCTTTGCATATGTGCTCGTCTCCCTGAAATGTACCCAACCTTCTTGTAGCAAATTCAGACGCATTCCTTAAGTTTCATCTCAAGAACTTCCGCCCCTCGAGACCACCCCTGACTTTCCTGGGCAGTCCTACGATTCCACTTATGCCACTAGAAGAGGTTGAGTCCACGGGCTGGGAGTTTAGAAGTCAGAAAACAGGGTTTTGAATCCTGGCTCCATCGCTTAGCAACCGCGACAGTGGGCTGGTTGCTTCACCCCTCTGAGCCTCTACCCTCATTATAACACAGGCATATAAATGGTACTATAGTAGCCCCCCCAAGCCCCCATCCTTGGTGTCGCCCATTGGTTTCAGTGACCCACAGTTAACCGAGGTCAAAAATATTAAAAGGAAAATTCCAGAAATAAGTAATTCGTAAGTTTTCTTGTTGTCCCACCCTGTCCCACCTGGGATGTGACTCATCCCTTTGTCCACGCTGTAGACGATCCCCACCCGTTACTACTTAGTAGTTGTCTGTTACCAGATCGACTGTTATGCTGTCAGTGTTTGCATCCAAGTAACCTTGACTTTACTAAATACCACATTCACATAACTTCTGTAACAGTATATTATAATTGTTCTATTTCATTATTAGTTATTGTTGTTGATCTCTTAGTGTGCCTAATTTATAACTTAAACTTGATCACAGGTATGTATGTACCGGAAAAAGCAGTTATCTATAGGGTTGGTATTGGTACTATCTGCGGTTTCAGGCAGCCACTGAGGGTCTTGGAAGGTATCCCCTGCGAATAAGGGGGGGCTACTGTCTTAGAGGGTTAGAGTATGATTTAAACCAGTTACACGTAAAGCACTCACAAGTGACTAGCACTGGTTATGTTTTCAACATTAGTTACTTATATCTTAATCATAGCTATTGACAGATCCACAGTGCTCATTGCTGGCATATTTTTTTTCTCTAGATTATAAACTATTTGCGGGCAGGGACCATATTTTTTCCTTTGAGCATTCCTCGCCTAGAATAGTGCCTGGCATTCAAATACTTGTGGCATAAAATTCAGAGGCCCCCAGCCAAAGAAAGGAATGGGGAGTGGTCCATCTTTCCCCAGGAAGACTTGTAAGAGCCTTCAGAGGGATGAAGGAGGCGGGAAGGGAAGAAACAAGAAATGCCATCGTCAGGAGAGAGGGACAAGTTGTTTATGCAGTTATAGCCCTCGCTCCTGGATCCCAAGCTCATCATAGGCACTCAATAAATATAATTTGAATGAGAGAAAATGGAGGATTTTACAAAGTCAGAAGGAGAATGGAAGTCGGGGAATAGGTTTTTTTCTTTTTAAAGGTCAAATATAAAAATTATAGAAGTGATTCCATATGCCATTTAGGTATATAAAGTGCTCAAATTTAAAGAAAGCTACGTTTGCACACCAAGATGTTCAAGGAAACCCTTCTCAACGTGATCTGAAGTTTTCTATTTAAGTCCTGAGAAATATTAAGACCATGTTCTTGTGCCTGTCAGTCTTTTGTGTCCTTCACAGTCTAAGAGGTTATTTCTTTTTTTTTTTTTTCCAAAGGCTTTATTGAGGAATTGGGGGAGGGAAACAGACAAGTTGCTGTCCTTTTGTTCTTCAGTCTAGCTGTGGAGGACTTGGCTTCACTGGCCCATGTTGGTATTATCACTGCGTTCTTCCTGGGTGAGGCAGTCACTCGCTGGCCATTGGACGGCTGCTCATGAAAGCTCACACCAGCTGATGGCCAAACCCACTGCAGCCTACACCACCGCCGGCGACTCACTGCAGCCCAGCTCCAGGTCGAACTGTTGTTCACCATCTCAGCTGTAGAGGGTGCAGTGTCACTGGCCATCATATGAGATCTGAACCAGGGCCCTGCTGCTCAGGCTGATGTCCCAAGCCAACTCTTTTTTTTTTTTTTAAAGATTTTTATTGGGGAATTGAGGGATGGGGACAGCACTGGGGAATTGGGGGAAGGAGAACAGACAAGTTGCTATCGTTTTGTTCTTCAGTCTAGTTGTGAAGGATGTTGCTTCACTGGCCCAAGTTGGCACCATCATTGCGCTCTTCTCTGGCGAAGCAGATCAGTCGCCGGCATCTGGACAGCCGCTCACTGCAGCTGCTGGCCGCTCTCGCTGGCTGCTGGCTACACACGGTAACCATGGCAACCCACTGCAGCAGGGGCTGCAGCCTACGCCGTCGCCAGTGACTCACGGCAGCTCAGCTCCAGCTTGAGCTGTTGTTCAGCATCTTAGCTGTGGAAGGCAGTGTCACTGGCCCTCATATGTGGGATCCAAACCAGGGCCCTCTGGCACCCAAGCCAGCTCCCAATCATCACGCCACTCGGCCGGCACCCAAGCCAACTCTTAACCAACATGCTACTCAGCCGGCCCTAGGAGGTATTTCAGAGTTAGAATATGAAGGTTTACAGTATGGGAAATCAATTTATTTGTGTATGAAACATAATTACTTAAGAAATTTTATGAAATCTCTTTTCTTACTCTTTTTGACTCATATACCCCACATCAGAGCTACACAAACACAGAACATATTTGAAACAAGAGCTCATTATACCAAGTACTTACTCTGAAAATGTTATTGGGTTGTCGGAAAAGTCATGACACATGTTTGCAACAGGTGGCACTAGTTCATTTTTGGAAGTACTAGAGTCATTCACATCTATGTTCTTGCTATGTCATTTGACAGCTTACAGTTCTAGCTTAATTCGAAAAAAAATTGAGCGATTTGGTTGAGTTTTGGAGATTTTACAACAAGGTAAAGATGGAAGACCAAACTGCATTTTTGCCATATTTTAGTGTTTTAATTCCATAAAGGGAAGAATGCGTGTCAAGCTTGTGAAAAGTTCCATAAAGTTTACGGTGACAATGCTCTACAAGAACATCAGTGTCAACGATGGTTCACGAAATTCTGTGCTGGTGATTTTTATCTCAACTACACTCCTCGGTCAGGGAGGCCTACCGAGGTTGATGACGACAAAATAAAGGCATTGATTGAGTCAAACCCACGTTACACAACACAAGAGATTGCAGAAACATCAAACATCCATCACTCAAGCGTTCACGACCACCTGAAGAAGCTGGGATACGTAAGCAAGCTCGATATTTGGGTTCCGCATGAACTCAAAGAAATTCATTTGATGGTGCGTATAAACATCTGCAATATGCTCATTAAACGTGAGGAAAACGATTCTTTTTTGAAGCAACTGATAACTGGTGATGAGAAGTGGATTGCTTACAACAACGTGGTGCGCAAACGGTCTTGGTCCTGACGTGATTATTCGCCTCAAACGCCATCGAAAGCAGACATTCATCAGAGGAAGGTTATGCTCTCAGTGGGATTTTGAAGGTGTCGTGTTTTACGAGCTCCTACCAAGGAACTAAACAATCAGTTCAAATGTGTACTATCGGCAATTGGACAGTTTGAATGAATCCATCATCCAGAAACGTCCAGAGCTTTTTAATTGTAAAGGAGTTGTATTCCATTGCGACAACGCGAGACCACACACAAGTTTGATCACCCGTCAAAAATTATTGGAGCTTGGATGGGATGTGTTGCCACACCCACCATACTCGCCTGACCTTGTGCCGTCAGACTTCCACTTGTTTCGTTCTTCAAAACTCCTTGCGTGGTATAAGGTTCAATTCAGATGAGGCTGTAAATCAGCACCTTGTTCAGTTTTTCGCAAATAAAGACAGGTCCTTCTATGAACGAGGAATTAGGAAGCTCACTGAAAGACGGCAAAAGGTTATTGAACAAAACGGGCAATATATCATTGATTGATCTTTGTTCTGTATATCAATAAATGACCTTTGAAAAACATAGACAAAATACGTCATGACTTTTACGACAACCCAATACTTCCTAAAAAGTGATAGAAATCAAACACGGTCAAGTGTTTAAGATGCAAGGTTAGGAATTATGATGAAAGGGGTTTGTGGTTTTGCTTAAGTGTCTCTTTAAAAACAAATTTCTAGAAAAATGAGTTTTCAAATCTGTAAAGCTTTTTCCCCATTTATTTTTTTGTTGTGATTCAGAAATACAAGTTATGAAAATCAGGTTACATTTCTGCCACAAAAGCTTCTAAAGTAGCAAACACAAGTTCTCATAGATATCAAAATAGCCATGTGTACTCTCATCAGTTAAAAAATGTCTTTAGAGTTGCCACATAAAACAAGTGTAAAAGAAAATAACTATTATCTCCTCTTCAAAATATCAAATCTGCCATCACTGCACTGAACTAAAAAAGATTTAGTCCAGAATATGGAAGATTATGGTTAGTAGGTACTTTTTAAAGCTGAGTAGTCACAGAATTAAAAAAAATCAAAAAGATACAAAGCATCCTAGGTTAAAAAGTTATGAATGTCTAAGTGTCCTCAAGTGACTAAGACAAGTTTAAATTAGAAACATGATGTAATGAAATTAAATCTGTTGATGATATAATTTAGTAAAAAAAATTTTTTATAATATTGCCTTCTTCTAGAAAGACAAAGACATACTACAATTCTTTGAATCAAACCAACTATTACCAAAATGCTTTTGTCATCTAAATATTGGAAACAGTCTTTCAAAGTTTCACTTCCAATAATCAATAATATATGATTTAACAATACATGGTTTATAACTAAGCACATATGAGTATTAATGTAAAGAGGCCATCATTAACAGCATTTTTAATTTCTTCTTTTCTCAGCTATAAAAATTAAATTTTAAAAAATATAGAAAAGAACAATTCCTTTGACTGTGTTTTTGTAAAAAGAAATGAGGATTTTTTTTATGCCTTTTTCAATTATGGAGGGTCCTTGAACATATTTTGTAATTCCTATGGCTGAATGACAATAAACATTTTAAAATAAATATACTTACAAGTACATTATAATAAACAATACAACCAAACCTACCAGAGGCAGGCACTTCAAAACTTAAACTCACATAATAAGCTGTTCTTGGTCACACAGAACCAACATTTCAACAGAACAATAATTAAACTCCTTCTGCCACAGGTAAGACTTACCCACTTGTTGGTATAATAGAAAGCATTGAATCAATGTGATCCTTTAAAAAACAAAACAAGCCAATAGTTTCCCTAGCAACCTGACTCAGCTTTTTTTTTCTCTTCCCAAGGATGGGGGGTGGGGGGAATCAGTGTAAAAAGAGTTGTACAAGAATTGAGCCAAAATGATAAAACATAGAACTTGCCTTGTAATATTTTCATGTTTTGAAGGAAGTCAGATCTTCATGATGCTGCTTCAATGTCTGTAAATCCCTTTATCCAAAACCCTTCAGGCCAGATGCATTTCAGAATTCACAATTCTTTGGATTTTGAACAGATAACATGGGGCATATGCTGGATATTACAAAATATTTCCACAGAATCTGGGGCAATACCCACTATCGAACCCATTGGCAGTACTTCAAGCAAAATTTTTGGACAGCTCAGCTCACAAAGTGGCATAAATAAAAACTATACTAATCTCACGTCGGTTCAAGTTGGGTTTTGCCATCAAGTGAATTATGGCACCAAATTTAGAAGGAAAGAAAAAAACACCTTAGCTTTCAAAGTTTTTTGGATAAGGGACTGCGGACCTTTGATGTCTCTCACAAGCCCATGCCGACACTGGTCTATATCAACTGCTCTCATCCCTGGGCTTTGGCTGGGCTGGGGATGCTGTCTCCCACCACAGAACAGGGGCTCTTCAATGTGTTTAGATGACCTGAGGTGACAGTACTGTCATGAGGATAGCTTGAGAAATGAATATTAAATAACTATTGTTAAATAATGAATTTTATTGAATGAGACACCATCTTGGGCTAGATTTCCATACGGACCAGCAGTAGAAGGTGCCAACAGTCAAGGAACATATATGAGAAAAGAATACAATAAAAAAAAAAATCCAGATACGAATGTAACCATTTTCTGCGATTAGGAAAATACAGTCCTTAGTTCATTTCAGAGGCTGTCCAATATGATGCCCAAGTTTGCTGATGATGGCTATCGAAGACTGAAAAACTTCATGAGACAATTAGGGCATCCGCGCTTCCCCACCCCCCACCATGAGCTGCACTAAAGCCATCTCAAGCAACTTATATATTAAATAAGATCTTCTGTCTTCAACAGTGTTTAAATACGCCCTTCTCAGATGTTGACTAAAAAGACCCCATGGGTTAAAGCCTTAAACATCTTACGTTTTAAAAGTTATGTCATTTTAAAGTCAAGAGGTTCAAAAACTCAAGAGCTTAAAAAAGGTTTGCTATGACTTTTAGGTCTTTGATCTTTTGTAGCTATTTTTTTGAACAATAAAAAAAAGTTTCTCTTTCCAAAGCAGTGGTCCTTTCTCACCAGAGTGAACTAACCTGTGCTACTGTAGATACATACTGAGTACGCAAAAGGAGGGGACAGCGTTATGATGAAGGTGACTGTCCCTCCGTCGGAGGAGCACACACACTATGACGGGAAGCAGGGTGCGTTGGCTAACACGCGTCAGGGGCACAAACTGTGGAAACCCACTACATGAACAACAGAACCTGTCATCTGGAAACGGCATGCCCGGGGCCGAGAGGGTTTCCAAGGCTGTGCTCTGACTGTGCTTCCTTAACGTGTGGTTCAAAGAGAACGTTCTCGGGTCAGTGGGAGAGTCACAGAAAGGACAGGGTGATCATTTCATTTCAAAAACAAGTAACTTCAGAAGCGGCCTTGCCATCCTACTTTGTTTTTTCTTCATGAGTAAAATTTAAAGACGCTCTCGCCAGCCTTTCGGAAAAGCTACCTATAGGCAACAAGAAGAATGTCACACAGTTTGTTTTCTTTGTTTTCATGAATTCATGAATGAATTGAACAAGTCAAATAAAAAATGGTAACTGGTTTTTCCGCCTCCCTCTTTTTTAAAACAAAAATTATTATAGCAGTACAAGCAAACTTGGAAAGGAGGAGATGAGGAGAACGAGAATAAATTGTAACGGGATGGAACTTCAAGTCAGCGTGGGTAGTGAAGAATTGTAAATGTTTAAGCTTCTAAGACTTTATTTTTCTCTTCAGAAAACATCTGAGGAGTGAAAAATGAAGGTGCCCTAAAGCACTCGAATCTAAAGAAGACAAGATAGTATTATTTCTCCTACCAGAAAATACCTACCTCCTTCCCTTTACTGCCTCACTGCACTGCCTCTGCCATCCCCCTTGTGGTTTTATGGGATCAAAGACCAAGAGAAGCCGCGCGTGTCCACCAGCAGCACAGTGAGTGAGTCAGACTCACCAGCATTGTGTAAAAATCTTGAATAAAACACACCCAGTTAAAAAAAAAAAAGGCCCGGAAACCCATACTGCTTTTCATGGAAGGTTTAAAAAGTCCTCATGACCTCTTATGTGTCATAAAGTACCTTTTTGGACTTGATCTCTCCGGGGAAGAAAAGAGTAACCGGGGAAAAATGTAAATGATCACTCTGGAACCCTGCTCTTCATCCTGCTCGCACGCTCTCAGTTCCCACACCATCACCACCTCTCCACCTCAGAGAATCCAATGGTCTCCTAGTCCGTATTTGCATAGTATTAAGAGTATTGTCTGGAGTTGAATTTCTACCCCAGCACTTGCAGCCAGGTTGCCGGAGAGCGCTGGTCCAATCTTCAAAACCAACACAGAAGTGTCTGTCGGCTAAAAACTGGGTCCCGTTTAGCAGCACGCCGCTCGTGTTATTTAGAAACACTCTTGTTCCAAGGGGCAAGGCTCAGGCAGTTTTGTCTGTAATTTCATGTTTTGTTCTTTCTACCATGCAGCGACGAATTATGGTGTCAAAACTTCTAAGGTAAAACAGAGAGAGCATGCGGAAAAGGCCCATGGTGACCACCTGCAAGAGAAAGACAGACCCGTGAGCTCATCCAGCGGTATAATACAGTAGCTCATTTCAAGGGATTTTAGGATATGTCTCTAATAAATAGTTTCTGAGCCACATCTTCTAATCTGCTCCAAGCGTAAGTATAATGAAAACTTTGTTAGGGTCAGTAAAACACTTAGGACAGAAGTTGTCTTCTCTGCACCACTGGATACCCTGTGCCTGCCAGATAGGTAACAGCGAAGTGTCCAATTAATAAATTCAAATTAAACGAAGGACAAGATGGGTATTCCTCGTCTTGGGGCTCTACTAGCTAGGGGGAAATGCACCCTAGCATCTCAAACATCCTAACCACAATCAAGGCTTTTTGGTTTAAGATTTATGCTCTGGTCACAAAAGTCAGACCCTATGCAAGGTGCTGAGAACACTGGGGTAAAAAAACATAGTTCTGCCCTCTCTGAGCTTATCCCCTCACTGGAAAGACATCAATCGGAGAAAGACAATCACTGTTCCAAGGTTAAGGCAGCAAATAGCTATATCCATTAACTTTCCCTTTTTCCACTAAAAGATTCTCGTGAGCAGCTCCTCTAAATGGAATTCTTGAAAGTCCAAACACTACAAAAAGAAACGTTTTCAAATATGCAAGGTCTCAAAAAATTTGCCTCCCGCACAGCTTTTCCAGAAAGCTACTAGACGAGGTAAACAGCCAACGTGGGGGAGGGGGGGGGGTGCACAGAGAAAGGCAGCGTCACGTGACACAGGAAGCAGGGGGCCCAATCCAAAAGAAAGGCAGAGGGGTTCCCCAGCATGACCACGAAGGGGGCGGCCGGGGGTCAGCTATGCAGAGACATGGGGGCAGCCAGTCCTGATGGGCGGGTCAGAAGGTTCCAGGGGGAATGCCTCCCAGAAGGTGAAACTGATAGAGTATCTGGTATTTCTGAGAGGAGATGAAGACAGTCATTATTAATAATACACAGAAATAATACATAAAAAAGGGCCCACAACAGTTTCAGGGCAAAAAAATGATTGTACGTGAAAGGGCAATTAATTATGTCTGTATTACGTGGCTCAGCTGTGAACAGCATTTCTACAGCCATGAAAAGGATTATCTCCAATGGGGGACAAGCAGCGAGGCAACGCTTGCTGCTTTTCCTAACGAGCCTTGGAACCTCTTTGTGCGCAAGGATTACTTTGAAAAACGTAAAAACCAAAAGGAAGCTGGGAAAAGGCAAACCTATGGCCACACAGTAGAAAGGTCAGGAGGCGAGGAGAAATGGCGAGGTGGAGCACAGGTGCATTTCAGGGCTGAAAACTATCCCGTGTGACCCTGTAATGGTGGGTACGTGTCACTGGACATTTGTGGAAGCTCACAGGACTGATGGATAACACCAAGAGTGAGCCCTCATGCAAACCCTGGACTTCAGTTAGTAATAACGTATCAATCCTGGCTCATGAACTGTAACAATGTACCTCACTGATAGTAGGGGAGCTGTGAGGAGGTTTACCCGCACTTTGGAGTTCCCACTCAAATTTTCTATAAACTTAAACCTGTTTTAAACAATAAAGTAAAAAAACAAGCCAACCAATAAAACAAAAACCTAAAAGGAAAATAAAAACCCTCAAGAAAAAGCAATTACAATGTAGCATAAAAAAAGTGCTAAAATAGGGGTAAGTCCACGGAATTTAACCCAGTCTTAAAGAGTTTTCTGGACGAAAGCAACGTTTAAGCTGAGACCTGGAGGAAGACTGGAAGTTGATCACACGAAGGAAAGCCGGGGATGAAGGGACATAAACAGAGTCGCAGGGAGAAGAGGAGGGGCAGGGGAGCAAAGAAGAGAGGTCGGCGGGGTCAGAGGTCAGAGGGCTATGCCATGCGATGAAAGCTTTATCTTGATGGTACCAGGGAACCACGGAAGGCTGTTGTGCAAGGTAGATCTGAAGTTCAGGAAAACCACCGTGAGAAAGTTGATGGAACACTCGAATGCACCCAGGGCCTGGGGCCGGGTGCGGTAAGACCAGAGAGACCGGTCACCGGGTCCTGTGTGACGGCAGCAGCTCCCACCGTCCCAGCTGGTTACTGCGGGGTGAGAAAGCACACTCTATGCTGCTGGGCCTTCCGATTTTCCAAGAAAAGTCCGAAATTGAAACTTTTTAGATAAAATCTAATTGTAAAACTACTTTATTCAACACACATGCTCAGAGCAAATGGGCCAAACAGACACTTTATGGGCCCGCGGGTAGCCAGTTTACAATCTCTGGCTGGCAGAGTATGTGGCTTGGGCCAGGAGCCCAGAGCAGTGGGCAAGCCTGAACTGCAGGCGCAGCAGCAGAGCCGGAGAAAGTCAGCGGACCCAGGATTAGAGGGACAAGAGACAGCGAGCTGCCCTCTGATGGGAGAGGCAGAAGGAAGGGAGTCAGCATTGGTCTCCTGAGCGAATGTGAACACCAACCCCGGAGACAAAGAACACAGAATCAGTGAGAGGGGAGGGTGGGCAGGATGCTGGGGAAACACAAAGTTTTCCTCTGGACATGCTGAATTGGAGATGTACCATTACAGCCCAGGGAGAAGAAATGCATACAGAACTGAAGTTCAAGCAATCGTTATGGGCTGAAGTTTTAGATATGACATCACTCATACAGAAGTGGCAGGATGGACAAGACAGCCTACAGAGAACGTGCAGAACTCATGTCTGTTCCACTCAGGCGTTCTCAAGTTCTTACTACGTGCCAGGCACAGGCTGTACGTATATTACAATGAGGAATGAAGAGTGAGGAAACCAACAGCTAAGTCATTGGGACATTTAGTGTAGACATGGTCTAGTGCACCTAATGTAGCGCTTCGTTATAAACCACCCATCACCGTAGGCAGGCCCTGCTCAGGCAGCTTTCCCACCCTCTCCTTGTCGTCCCTCTACCTCCATCATCCATGGCTTTGCCTTTGCAGGGCAATTGCTCTATTCTAGCCCTTATTACTTTACACTGCATTAGTATCACCATGTTTATCAGTCTCTCCCACCAGACGACAGGCCCTCTAGAGTTGTCTTACATCTGATTTTCCAGCAGCGAACTCAGCACCTAGGACATCAAGGAGCAGTTAGCTGTCTGTGTCCCAGATGAACTATAATTTTGTCCCCAGTTAGGGTGGGGATTGTGTTGAATCCTTGACTTGTATCTCCCTAAGCTTAGTGACCTGTGGCCTGACTCACCTAGAAACGGTGTTCTAGCCTAATACCCCAGCACTGTCAGGCAAGGCCAGCCCTATTCTCAGAGGAGAACCCAGATGAACACACCAACAGCAGAGATGCTGTTTTATCTCTGCATCTGCAGTGCCCAGCACAGATTTCTTCCCCGTCTCAAATCCTCAAGTTAAATCTTTAGCCTACTTCCCATTTACTTATCCCTGGTAGAGGAAGAGAAAAAGTCGACTTTTAATAAAAATTTTTCACATGCTCAGATCAAGTTACTATGTCTTCCTTTAGCCCTTTCTCGCTGAATTTTAATAAGAGGAGCTGTCTGTCTGTCTGCCCATCTGTCTGATGGCCTACGTATCGCTTACCTGCTGGAGTCCTTCAGTAATAGAAGTGACCGGGGCCATTCCGCAGGTCAGGGACGACAGCATGTACCCATCTGAGCCAATGGAACTGTTAAAATTTCCATGCTAAAGAGAAGGAAGAGAGAAGAAAGAGGCAACAGTAGTAACACTGAAAGGAATCAACTCAACCAGGGAAGAGTATCCATTCACTCTGGGTGGGTTAAGACAGGGAGGAAGAATATACTGAAGCTGAGAAATGAATGTGGCCTTGGCAGATGGGCTAAATGGCTAGATGGACAGTTCTCAAAATGTGGGTCAGTCCACGGACCCCAGGTGTCCATAGGAGGGGTCCATGATGACAAAAACGATTGTCATATAATAATAAGACATTAATTGCCTTTTTCACTGAGTGACATTTGAACTGATGAGCAAAACTACTGACTCATTAGCACAAACTGCAGTAGTGGCACGTTTCCACTGCCACACACGCACACATTTGCAGTAATAAACAGATACACAAAGAAAATAGAAACTTTTAAAAATCTTGTAAAATTTTTAAATGTCAGCAGTGCTTAAAAATGCCCTTGATAAATTGGCAGTAAATTGTTTTAATAAATAGCAACCCTTGAGGACATGTCTTCCTAATATTCTGTGTGACAAAAGAGTACACACCCAGTGTTATTTTCGGCTGTCCACTGTCCCCAAGGGAGTTGCCTGCCCTGAAGATAAGCTCTCCTAACAACGGCTTAAGTCATGAAATTTGCCGCCTTTTTCACAGAACACCATTTTTATGTGAAGGAGCCATGAACAGATAATCTATGGCTATTCATACTTGGGCATGTGGAAGATATTTTGTGGAAAATGAATGAAATGGGCCTGTCAGTTCCAGGAAAATTGGCAGCTTTGATACTCAATGTGAAAATCTGAGCTTTCCATGAGACTGTCAGCTTCCCAATATGTAAAGACTTTTATAATATCAGCAGTGATATTAATGACTGTAATTTTGGGGGGAACTCAGCGAACCCATACTTTCCCAATGACGAATGCATAATGTTACAAAATCATGAATGGGGACAAAACGTTCAAAGTGGAAAGACCAAGGGATTTTAATGTAACAGAGAACAAAAAGTTCATTAATTGTAGCTTTCCGATTCCACACTGCAATTAAACTTGAAGGAATTACTATTCATCCAGTTAGGGTTTAATACTGAAAAAGAATGTCCACCATGATCCGAAAAGCCTGTAAACTATTCCTCCCTTTTCTAACCACATATATCTGTACGGCCAGATTTTCTTTATATCCTTCATTCAAAACAACATATGACAACAGACCGAATGCAGACGCAACTATGAGAGCCCAGCTGTCTTCCAGGAACACAGGCATTGAAGAGACTGGGGGAATGTAAAACAACACCCCTCTTCTCACTAGACGTTTGTTAGGAGAAATAATTATGGTCGTAAAAATGTTGCATTAAAATGCAATGCGCTTATTATTATTTTAAATGGATTCACCCATGTTTTTACCAATACACAGTTTCAATTTCTAACATGGCAACTATAACACATGTAAACAAAAGCTCTCTGGGGTCGCCAACCATTTAGAGCGTAAAGCGGTCAAGAGATGAAGACGTTGACCACCACCAGACTGAACGAGTCCTGCCAAAATACCAGGAGGTATTTCGGATCATTAAAAACACTGAGTGTGTTTGCTCTGACTTCAAATAAGCAGGGAAAACAAAGTCGGCCCCCTTCACGGGTGCCATCGGTCTGTGCCTTTAAACACAACAGGGCCAAGTTCTTCCAATGTCCGTATGGATTTTAACAGAGTTCAGTATTTCTCATCTTCCTCTCATTCCGCCCCATGCACAGCTTGCTGACACTGCTCATTCCCAGTGGTCCCCAAATTTCCTAAAATCAGCCTGGGTCTACGGTTTACAGACATCCCTCATGGGTGGATATTTTTCTGCATGTGGGTTAACAGCAAGGTTGTCAGAAGTTGGTGGCACATGTATTGTTCTACGAAACAGCACCTCCTTTCTAAGGATACCCGTTTGACTCCAGAAAAACTCAGTAGCGCAGAAGCATACTGCCGAGGTTGACAGGATGGTGGCCTAGGGGGCTTGGCTGCACTTTCTTATGAGTGGCCACATGGGAAAACGATACCGGGAAGCAGGCAGGTGGAAGAAAAATCCTTAACCAACGACTCTGGCAATGAGGTACCCAAAATAATCTAAAACTCCAAGTACTGTGGGAAAGAAGGAAGAAGTCAACAAACCACAGGCGATCTTCATGGCATAACCTGTTGACATTGCAAAGGTAAATGTCATTTTTCTTTTTAAAGAGCCAAAGTTCCCAGACACACTTGCGGAACAATCTGCTCCAAAGGTTAAGACACATAATCCATTTCCAGGAGCCTAATGAACATGGAACTGATCATGTCTAAGGGAAGAAAAGTGGGGTCCAGATTTAGATACGATGACTCCGTCTGATCAAAAAGATCCAGTAATGTGTGTTTTGAAATAAGTCCCAGGGCAGATATCTTTTCAGAAATACAGAACGACAGCCACTGATCAAGAAAACAAGGATTTGACTTACTATGGCATCTCTGACAATCTGTCTGGCCACTTGCTCTGGTGTGCAGATAGATGTGGTCTCTGAAATAAGACGTGTCTCCAATGGCTGAAACGGAAAAACGGACATGATAATACCACTAAATTAAAAAGTCAATAATTCTGAGAGGCCCCCACCTCCCCAATTTCTAAATAATTCCAATTTTCTACCTATGAGTCTTATTTTTGGAATTAGGTCCATCTGAATTCTAAACCAGTTTCTACCTGGTTATTGTGTAAAATTCAGCCCAGTGGCTGAAGCCAGAAAAAGCAGCCCTGGCCCCTCTGTAGAATGCGTGGTCTTGGTTCCAATGAGGACCATCAAAGCAAGAATGAGAATACATCACTGGTTCAGAGGCCAGAAACACCCTTTCCTTGAATCCTCGCTGCTGGCCACACACCTGACTGATAGTGTTTACGCAGAGCCTATGCTGTGTGTGTGCCCCGAGCAAGTCTGCTCTGATGAGTAGCATCTCTCTGTTCTCACTATACTCCCAGGCCAAGCGGAGGAATGACCCCTGGGCAGAGAATGAATGGTGACACATGTGCTCAAAAATTCTTTAAAAGGGAGTTTAAATTAGAAGTTTCCAAACTAAAGCCTTAAACTGCATGCATGAAACTGTAAATTTTATTTACCATGCAGCCTTCAAAAATTTAAATAAAATTAAAACCAGAATATATCTTCTTAAAATAGAAAAGCACAGCCCTTCATAAAAGTCAAATATTTCTTGATAAACCTGAAAGTTAAAAGAAAGGCCCCTTTGAAGGTGTCACCATCATTCATCCTTCCAGACCACCAGGCTGGTTTATGTGGCCAGATACACATTAGATTTAAAAGCACTATGGCACCCCCTAAAGGGCTCACAGACACACACAGAATTTGATTTACCCCAAGAAGTCTGCCCAACATTTTACTGGGAAAAAAACCAAAAGCCCAGCATAACATCAAAATGAAATCTTCACGGGGAAATCACCACCCTTTGTGAGCTCTGGCTTCAAACTGAAAGACTGTTTACCAAATGCTGCAAATCTGCTTAGCAGACCACACTTATTCTAAGACTGACACGTGGCTTAAATTTACTTATTTGAAATAGACATTTTAAAAGAAACAGAGCCAAAGAGAAATGAATAGGAAAAGAGCTTCTAAATCATAAACATCTTTTTTGCAAATATACGGTCTATAGAGCATAAGTGCTAATTTTTATTCTGTGGAGGCTCACACTAAGCATTATTATGAAAGACAAGAAAAACAACACAGGTTCAAGGTGATAAGTTCTGATTGATTCCTTTCTTCTCCACTTTGCTCAGCGAGGGTCTACTGTGCATCAAAGCAAAGAGGAGCTTCCTTTGAACAAAATGCAAAGCTTGCATTCAGCTCGGGGACCACTGACAGTGGCCGTATATAATGTAAATGTCCAGTGGTGACAAGCACCTTGGAGGAAAAATAAAGCCAGGGGAGTGCTATCTGAGATACAGAGGGTCAGGGATGGAAAGAAACAAGGGAGGTAAGCCATTCAAACATCCAGAGAAAGAGGGCAGCACGAGTGAAACCCAGAGGTGACAACAGGCTGGCCAGCTCACAGAACTGATGGGGCAGGGCTCCTGTGTGGCAGAGGGCAACAGGGAGAGAATCTGCTGTGGGCACATAGGTGGCTGAGGTTCAGACACTCTGGAACCTTATAAGCCTCAGGCCTTCGGATTCTGTTGCAGGCATGATGGGAGCCAGTAGACCTGCACTCTCCAATATGTAGGCAGCCGCTACCAACACGCAATATTTAATTTTAACTTTGAATTATTTAAAAGGAAATAAAATTTAAAAATTCGCCTTCTCAGTCCCACTAGCCAGGTTTCAGGTGCTCAACAGTCACAATGTGACTACCAGATTGCCAAGTGCAGACAGAAAACATTTCCACCATTCTAGAACATTCTATTGGACTGTGCTGCACAAGAGGTATTTGGTCTTTGGGTTTTTTTTTCTTGTTTGTTTTTTATTTTTTGGTTTTTTGCACAAGAGGGTTTTAGACAGGGAAGTGATAAGACCTGACTTATGCTTTAAAAAGATCATGAGTGACTATGAAGAACAGATCCCAGGCAGTAAGAACAAAAAGCAAGCACACCAGTTTGAAGGCTATTAAGGTCGTTCAGGCAAAAATATCAGTTGGCTATCACTACGAGGATGGTAGTGGTATGTGCAGTTTGTTGTTTTTGTTTTTTAGAAGGTCATATTTCGAATATGTTCTCAGGGTGGAGCCAAGAAGACTTGCAAATCCACCGGACACGTGTGAGGGGAAGAATCAAGGCTTGCTTCATCATTTCCAGCCTGAGCGGCAGAGTGAACGGTGGGTGCCAGGTAATGAGATGAAAATAACGTAGAGAATGAGAGGGAATCAAAAGCTTCGTTTCTGAAACGTTGAGTCTGAGGCGCCCATTAGCCCTACACATGGAGACAATGGACTGGCAACCCAGGTCTGCAAGTTCAGGGGCGAGATGATTATTTTTAAAGAACATCATCTCATGAGTTAAAAATATAAGCTGTGTTCTCCCTCATAAAGAAAAATACCTTACGAATTGAATAAGGCTTCAAAGATCATCGGCAAAGATTATGGCCTTTGAGAATATGGCTGCATTCTCCAAGGTTTCAAATGAAAAGTCCCAGAAAGTTCAGAGGCCTCTAGCTAGCGCATAAACGGAAAGGAACTCAATTTTCTGACTGATGAAAATGCCTGTGGGCTGAAGTGTGGCGAGGCAGAAAAATCAGAAAAGGGGGTTTACAACGTTAAAGGCTCAAAATGGGGCACGGAGGAATACTTACCTTGGTTTTGTTTTCTTCTGCAAACCCAGGGGTGTCTGTGTCTGGCGGGTAGGCCACTGTCACATAGATGTTATATGGCTTCACCTGCATTTCAGAAACAACATTGGCCCCTTCAGTAAACGGGGCACCATGTCACGTCCTCCCCCACCAGCCTGCACTGGCTGCCAGGCCCACGTGATAAATACGGCCCTGACTTTCTCAAGAGGGGGCAAGGCCAGCGGCTGATTCTGTAAGAGGGGAACTACCACCGACTGAGTGAGGAAACTGATCTCCACGAAGATCATTTAGAATAAAGAAGAGGGAACGGCCGAGTGGCTCAGCTGGTTAAGAGCTTGCTCAAGAGTGTGAGCTCTGAGCAACAGGGTGCCCGGTTTGATTCATGGCCCGAGCTGAGCTGCCGCTGAGCTGCCAACAGGTGGCAGGGTGGCTCAGCTAAAAAAAAAAAAAGCAACAGAAATAAAGAAGAAAAGCTCATCTTAATGTAGTTCTGGCCGTTCATCCCCTTCTTAGTTCCTTCCACAACCGCTGCCCGTGAGGGAAGCGACAGCGCTAAAAGGAAGTCCACTTGGTCCCCCACCCGCCACCCCAACCACTGCATGCTCCTCAGGCACTGGGGTCAAGGCAATGGGCTAGGTCTGGCCCTCCGCCTTCAGACTGTAAACCTGTTTTCCTTCACGGCTGCTCCTGAAACTCTTGTTAGGTTTATTTCGTCCACAAAATATGCTGAGTCACTGAAACGCCTTTCCCTGAGCCCTTCTCGTGCCATCCAGACCCGGGCTAGAACTGTATGTACCCTGAGACGTTTGCTTGCTCAGGGGCTCCTCAGGCGTCACTTCCTTCTACGTGGAACCCCCAAATCAGACCAGCCAAGCAAAACTGCCGGCTTCTCTCGCAGCTCCCTCCACTATCTGGAGCCCTGCGTCGCTGTGAAAGAAAAGGTTCTTAGGCTTGTCTACCTCACCGCCAGGCCTCCACACTTAACTGGCCTACTCATAAACACACCCCGACAATTCTAGAAGACTCTCCTGCTAGTCAGCCAGGACACACCCTTCCCACCGCCCTTCTTTGCAGCAGCCCTGCTCCACCCTCATGAGGGCGACGGTTCATGCCATCCGAATCTCTACCACGACTTTTGTTTGCCATTGGCTTGCTGTCTAGTCCCCACGGCTTGGAAGTGGACAGGCAGCAGTCAATAGTAAGGTCAGCCGCTGTGTGTCTTAAGGAGGCTGAAAAAAGACAATGGAACTTCCTAATGCAATGGCCTCTGGGAGTATCCCAGGGTCCCTTCTTATCGCGGAGCCCTTTTCCTAGCTCCATCCATGAAGCACAGTTCTGAAGCCTGTGGGAGGAGCCAGCTAGCTGGAAAGTGCAAGGTGACGTCTGTGTTGGTTCAGCTCTAGTGCATATAGAGTATGACAGCGCGTTCGCTCAGCACGGCCAGGACATGTCGCTTCCAGGCCCAGCGACGCTCATGAATAGCTCTGGATTCAGGCTAGGCCGTGAGGTTGATGAGCAAGCAAGTTCTCTCCCACTTGTTTCTGAGAGAGTGACATTAAAAACTGTGTCCCACGGCCTTGCCCTCTGTTATGCAGAGACCAGAGAAAAATACCACCACAAAAGCCGGTAAGTGGCGACCAGGCAGCCCCTGTAAAGCCTGAAGCAGATGGCTCGGATACGGTCACTTCTGTGCTGTCCCTGCCTGTCCCCACCGTAAGAGCGGCGGTACATAAGCCAGTGTGAGACAGCATTTCAAAGCGGTGTTCCTCAAACTCAACGTTACGGCTGAGCTTCCAAGTGGTTAAGATAGGTTTTCAGAACAGCTTTCTCCTGGGGTGGGCACAGATTGTCAGAGCTGGGAGAAACCAGTCCAGTCCCTTCCCGATGTGGTATCCACTCTATAATCATGGAGCCAAGTGACTCTCTCGACCTCTGGTTGGATACCTCCAGCGGCTAGTAAGCTAACCATTTCATTCACCCAACAAACACTTAGTGACTTTATACTACATGCATCAGTGTTGTTCTAGGAACAAAGCATATGGATGTGAACAAAACAGACAAAACCCCTGTCCTCCTGGAGCTGATGGTCCTCTGAAACTCTTCGTCAAATAATTCACTAAAATCTAAATATATTAAACTATGTCTGTACTTTCCTTTAATTGACTAATCCCGCAACCCCAGCAGAAAAGGAAATGAGGTTCGTTCGGCTTGACTTGTTCTTGCTGAGACCATGCTGACGCCCAGAGATCACCACTTTTTCTACGAATTTATAAGTCAGGACTTCACTAACTAGCCCCTTGCTCACCTGGCCACTGTCTGCTTCTCCTTGTCCCTGAGGATCAACCCCTCTCTTTCCCTCTGCTCTGTCCCACTCCCATCCTATTACCACTTTCGCCCTTCTGCCTGGACTCAGTCTCCATCAGAAAGACAACCACCTGCTCAAGCGCTGTATCATCATAACAATCCCACTTGGGGCGTCTGGTTAGCTCAGGTGGTTAGAGCGCAGTGCTCACAACACCAACGTTGCCGGTTTGATCCCCACATGGGCCACTGAGCTGCGCCCTCCACAACTAGATTGAAACAACTACTTGACTTGGAGCTGATGGGTCCTGGAGAAACACACTGTTCCTCAATAACCTTTAAAAAAAAAAAATCCCACTTAAGATGTGTTGCTCCTAATTCCATCAAAACAAAGCCATGGGCACTGCTGACGTGAAGGCCAGAATTTAAACTTCAGCCTCCTTTCAGGCCATGGTAGGAAGCGATGGAATTAGAGGGAGGTGAGGATGACTGGGACAAGATAAGGACGATACCTCGTTTTCTTTTACTTGGTCTCTGCTTTCCAAAAAGATTAACTTTTAAAATCTTTAAATGATGTATTTGTACCTAAAAGACTGAATTCTTTAAAAAGACAGAAAAAAAAGAAGCAACACAGCACAGCATTCTTTCAAAATTACTTATGGTACCTAAATCATTTCTAGGGTCCTGCTTTGGTAAGCAGGCAAGGGTTGGGGTGAGCAGAAAGACTTAAGAGTTAAACCAAAAAAAAAACACAAAACTGTCAAAAGCACTTAAGAGTTTGAGCAATTCTGTAAGGTCTGTTTCACTGGCAGAAAATACAACCGCACAGACTGGATTGTCTAGGTTTCAAAAACACAACACTGAAAAACAAAACAAAACAAAAAGCCCCACAACACTGGAAGTTTACAGGGAAGCAATGACTGTTTTGATGCGAGTTCTCCTATGAACAAATTAGATTTTGATGATTGAATTTATTTGCCCCCAAACCTCTTCTTTTTCATGGTACATGTTACTTGCTTTTGTTTACATGAGGACATTTTTAATGGAGGTCAAATATGGAGAGAAGTCAAGCTGGCAAGCCCAGGCCAGCTAGTCTCAGCGTGCGGGGTGCACTTGTCACAGGGAGGCTGCAGGCTGTCTGTCTCGCCCAGCCTCTCACTCTCTTCTCCTTTTGCTTTATTAACATCTCTGTTCTACCTGGAGCGAAACCAGGCTGCCCACATTATACACTTTGCCCTAAATTAGTGAATTCTGAAGTAGCTCTGCGAGACAAGGCTTGGGGACAAAAAGCCCTAGTGAGCAGATCTGTCATTTCCAAAACACTCCTTCACCTGCTAGGCTCCTAAGACAAAGTGAAGGGCTGCGGTAAGTATGAACCAGGCTTCTTCGGACCTGAATTATAGACACAGGGTCTGCTGCAGAGAGAGGCAAGGGCAGAGTCCAAAGACCTGGTTTTTTTTTACTATTTCTGTCACAAAGTAGCCACGTGGCTTTGAGCAAGTCTCCATGAACTCACTGAAAACTCAGTTTTCTTATCTCTAAGGTGGCATAACATCATCTACCTCACTTACTTCACAAAACTGTTACAAAAATAAAAGGGTTATTTACAAAGGGACTTTTCAAAGTAAAAATTACAAAAGAAATACCAGTATTCTTATTTGAAATTTCAGTCATACGATACATGCCCTGCTGGCTAAACAGATTATAATGATCCATTATTGACGAAGAATACTAAGCAAGTTGATGAAAAGGAAATTTGGATCTGGTTGAGATGAGAGCAGCACAGGCCATCAGTCTCTAAGTGGCACATTGGGATTCTGTCACTGATCACATAGCTCACCTGTGCTGCAATGCTCGTCCAATATCTAGGCAGTGTGGCACTCTGTCATACACCAACAAGGGCTCTTTTAGGGGTTTTCTAAATCAAGGTCAGCAAGCTATGGTCCTAGGGCCAAATCTGGCCCTTCACCTGTTTTTATAAATAAAGTTTTATTTGAACACAGCCACACCTGTTCATTTATGCACTGCACATGGCAGCTTTCCTGCTATCACAGGAGACTTCAGTAGTTACGACAGACACCACCAAGCCCTCAAAAGCCTAAATATTACTATCTGGCCCTTTACCGAAAAAAATTTGCTGACCCCTCATCTAAATCATTCAATGAGATTCTCAAATCACACAGTTACTGTAAGAATGCTCACCACAGTGGATTCTCTTCTGGGCTTTTAACATCATGATGTAGTGTTACATTTCTGCATATACTGCGATAGTAAAATGCCACCTTTCCCTTTTCAGTACATGACTTTGGGTAGATATGTGTGATGTTCTCTAAGCATCCCATGTGACAATACAGAACTCTACTTCACACAGCTGAGATGTAAGGCTGTCACATCATGACAAACACTTACTTTGAGACTAGTCCTAACCTCACCCTTCTTTCACAAAACGTTCTATTAACTGTGAAAACAAAAAGCATTCGCTTTCATCAATGTTTCTTTAAGATATTAAAACATAAGTATTAGGAGAGCCAAATGATTTTTTCAGTCCATCCCTCTCATTTTATAGATAACAAAACCAAGACCAAGTTAAATGATTGGTCTAAAAGCTGAGAGCTAGACAGTTTAAGCACTTCCCTCAAAAACGTGGTAATTTTATTATTCAGTCAAAAAGGACAGATCTTTTTGTTAAGGAAGCCTCTCTGCAGAATAAAATACCTAGTTAACCTTATGCATACTGACACAGTATTAGACCAACAATACAATGATGATATTAGTACTTTGTGTATTAAATTAAGCAAGCGAAAACCTCACAACCATTTTGCTTCTGTCATAACTATAATCATGTATGGAATGAAAAGTGTTAACTTTCTTTTTCATTGCAAAATTGAAAAATGTTAACGATCTCACTGAAAAGTTCAGGCGTTGGGCTAATCTATTCTCCTTCACTAATGTCAAATCTATTGGGTTGTCGGAAAAGTCATGCTGTATTTTTTTCTATGTTTTTCATTGCAAAAATGCATCATGACTTTTCCGACAACCCAATACAATCTGTAATTTAACATAACAACATGTATAAAGAAGCTACAAACTGAAGGGGAACATTTGCTGAGCTGAGGAATAAATATGAAACCAAATACAGCGTTTACCTCCATCTGCAAAGCTTCAGCCAATCCTCTGATAGCAAACTTGGACGAGGAGTAGGCGGTGAAACCGAACAGTCCCACCTGTCCCGCCTGCGAGGACAAAAAGACGATCCTGCCCACCCGGCGCTCCTTCATGGTGGTGATCACGGCTCGGCTGGGGTACACACTGCCCAGGTAGTTGATGCTCATCAGTCTCTGCAGAGAAGAAAGAGGCCATGAGGAGTGAGCAAGGTCAAAGCCACAAGGCAGGGCTCACGGGAACTCGGTCTGCTCTCCAGATTGGAGTTCTTCAGTGAAGTCCGACTGACTGGCAGTTCAGTGGATTTGGTAAATGAATGAATGATTAAATGATCCTGTCAATGAGCCGTGACACTCCCCGCCTCTACTCTCTGAAGTCTGTTTCTGTATAACCTGGAATTCTCATAATGACAGCAATTATGTCTTTGTTGAAAATGGGTCAAAATTAGTTCTCTCCTTGTAAAAAGTACACTTCATATTGCAGGTGATACTTTTTGACAGACAGTTTTAGAAATGAGCTTCCAAATATTTCCAGCCCTTTGGTTTTTAGTTCTAAGCGAAAGAAAGAGCCAAAGAGACTAGGACAGTGGTTAACAGCATGGACTTATGGTTTGAAGCTTTGCTCCATCATTTATTACCTATTTGATGATGAACAAGAAAATCAGACATTCTATTTATTTCTGCAGCTGAAGACAGGTTAATAATGGTAGTATCTAATAGGGCTATTGCAAGGATTAAAAGAGGAAACACAAGTAGGATGCCACTGCAGCCCCTGACCTACATACAGTAAATACTCAATAAATGTTGGCTCTTATATTATGATGGGTAAGATCTTACACAGGTACCAACGTTGTATTTCCCCCACATCCTGGGAACTCTTAAAAACCTTACATTTTAACTTGAAAATGTAAGACTTGCATTAAAACGTTTTATGTTAAAAGTCTTATAAAAATATTAGATCTATCACCATATGAGACCAAACACTTCATTGGGGAACTCTGGGTCAATCATGAAATGTTAACGCAGTAGAATAATAGATAATTTTTAGAAATGCTGACCAGAAATATTAGGAGAGGGGAAAACATTTATTGTATAAGTTTTAAAAAAGCAGAGGGTAGACTATTTACACAGTGACTATAACTATTTCAAATATTAAATAAAATTACATGTGTATAGGGGGCAAAGCCAAGGAAATAACAGATTTCTTTCTGACTGGGTTAGGATGCTAGGATTTCCATTTTTTCCCAAACTGTCTTTTAATATCATGACTGTCTTGATAATAAAAATGCTCTAAAAAAGTATTTGAAAAGAGATAGCACACTGAATTCAAGTGTTAACTTTAGCTCCCTTCAGAGATCCCACGAAAATCTCAGTAAAAAGATTCCTTTTTTAAAGACAAGAATCCACAAGAGCAAAGAAAATAAGAGCAGTAAAATTTTGAAAGTTGAAGAACAGAATGACGAGTGATAACTAGCTTTGCTGAAAGCTGAATGTTAAGCAAAGAGCAGGAAAACTAAAAATCAGGATTGTACCACAGAACACCCAAAAGCGTCAAGTACCTCTGGGGGCAGATGGTGGGGCATGGGACCGAAAGACAAGAGTATCGGCTAAGAATCTGTTTTAAAAAAAAGTCAGTTGGGCAAATTCACAATTATAATCAGATTTCAATACCTTTTTCTCAATAATTGATAGAATGAGTGGACACAAAATCAGTAAGGACATAGAAAACTTGAGCAATAGTATGAGCTCAATGGACCTAACTGACACTAATAGAACACTCCACCCAAAACAGCAGAATACACATTCTTACCAAGTGCACATGGATGGCTACAAGATAGACTGTACCCTGGACCCTAAGACAAGTCTCAATAATTTTTTTTTTTTTAAGATTTTATTGGGGAGAGAGGAAGGGAGAGAGGAAAGGAAGAAAGAAGGGAATGAATTAGTGTGAATGGGAGACTAAAGGTTGAGAGCAAAGTGAGTTTTTTAAAAAGATTAGAATTGTACATTTTTTAAATATTTCAACAGGCTTCATATTATAGTTATTTTACTTCTTTCTTCATCTCACCTGCTTCACCTTTTCTCCTTGTTACTGATGTCCACATACATTCATTCACCTGGTATCACACACTTAAGTTTCTTCTATTGTACCTCACAATTACATACCCCCACAAAACACCCACGCAATTTTCTTTGTACTTCCATCAGACACACACATGTAAGCAATCCCTATACCCTCTGCCCCCAAGCAGACACGCCCGCTTCCCAGTGTCCTAGCTTTACAGCTGCACGTTTATTATTACAACCGTGTAATCACTTCTGCCCCAATCCTCCCTTTGCCCTCCACATTCGGCCAAGGTGAGTCTTTTGCTAAGAGAACAGACGTTCGGTGTTCTCACCACACACACATACACACAAAAAGACAACTATGTGAGGTGGTGGATGTGTTAATCAGCTCGATCGTGGTAATCATCTCACAATGTAAGCGTATCTCCCTCCATACCATCTCTCACACACACACACACGCACGCACGCACACACACACGTTCACACACACACACACACACACACACACACACACACACACACGCATGCACACACGTTCACACACAGCCTACTCTTCTTTTGCTGGCCACCCCTGAAGTCCTTCACCTCATCACTTCATGCCAAATTTACTACAACTATTTTCCCCAACTGACTCTTTACACAGCTGTTGAAATAATCTTCAAAACCTCCCTTTGATTACTCACAGATAAAGGTATCCACGTCAAGACAACTATCTTTAGGCCTAGCTGATAAAGGAGCTTTAAGACACTGGAGTCCAGGTAAGGCGCTACTCTGCTTATGTCTACATCGGACTCTCCGGACGTGACCTTGAATCAGAGTTTATGGTGCTTTCCCGCTGTCCACCAGAAGCAAGGTATCTAAAGGACTGCTCCAGCAGTCTCCTTTCCTATAAAAGGAGATGCAAGTTCACTTTGCAGAGTAAAGCATTCACAACCCATTACTATGATGAAGGCTCAGCAGAACATTAAGAAAAAGGTGATTGAGGGGCCGGCTGGGTGGCGCAGTTGGTTAGAGCACAAGCTCTGAACAACAGGGTCATGGGCTCAATACCCACATGGGCCAGTGAGCTGTGCCCTCCTCAACTAAATTGAAGACAACGACTTGAACTGAGCTGCTGCTGAGGTGCCGGTGGGTGGCCGGATGGCTCAGTGGTTACAGTGCATGCTCTTAACAGCAAGGTTGCCAGTTCAGTTCCTGCATGGGATGGTGGACTGTGCCCCTCCGCAACTAGATTGAAAGCGGTGACTGGACTTGGAGCTGAGCTGCGCCCTCCACAACTAAGACTGAAGGACAACAACTTGACGTGGAGACAATGGGTCCTGGAAAACACAATGTTCCCTTCCCCAATTCCCCAATAAAATCTTTAAAGAAAAGAAAAAGAAAAAGGTGGTTGATGCAATGCCAACTAAAAAAATGTTTTGCACTTAAGAGATTTCAGATCAGATGTGTATTTCCTTAGGGCTGAAATAAATAACTAAGGTTCCACGGTAAGCCTGCTTAAAAGCATAATCATAAATATGACACATTACCTTTTTATTCTTGATCTGAGAGCTCAAAAAGACTCTGTTCTTCCATGTTTTGGTTTTTCAGTATTAAAAATATTGATACTTGACATAAAAATCCAGCATCTCTCAGCTTACAAGAGCTCTCCTAAAGACATGACCTCGGTGACGTGTCACAGTAATCTGTCACATCGGAGGGTTCGTTCCCACTTTACAACTGGGGAAAGCGAGGTTTAGACTTGCCTAAACCTTTAAGGTTGGATGGTCATGGCATTGAGACCAAAATCTTGTCTAGCCTTGCTCTAGTCTTCTAAAGCTTCTATTAAATCGGTTGGCATTTCATCAACTTCATTTGTAAAGCCTTGACCCATGCATGACCTTGTTTTGCTTTTTAGTGTATGGGCTACCTCAATGAGCAAAAAACCAAATTTTTACTTACTTCAAAAGTACTAACTTCAAGGTCTTCAAATTTTCCTGAAATGGACATTCCTGCACAGTTTACAAGCATGTCTACTGGACCAAGCTTCTCCTGTGCCTGTAAAAAGTGATCAGAGCAGGCATTACGAAAGAGAAAAGAAGAACCAACTTAGTAGTAAATCAAAGCCAATAGCATCTATCAAACCATGAAACCTATTAGGAAGGTTTACCCATTCCAAGCCACGTAGCAAAATGGTAAGAACCAAGAGAAAGGCATGTAAACTCATTCCAATTAGCCCAACCTCTTACTTGTTTTATGACATTCTCTACTTGGCTATAGTCTTGAGATACGTCGACTGATATACACAGCACTACCTGTTAGAAAGAGAAAAAAATGATCAAAGCTATCAGGTGTCTGAAACTACTTTTAAAAGATTTTTTTTTTTTTAATGAAAGGCAATTCTTTTTAAAAGATAAGGAGTTCAATTTTGGATATACCAATTATAACATTTAAAACCTGCTAACAATGAAATTAGTACGGTCTAATTTTCTTGGCAGTTGTCATTGAAAACTATTTTGAGCACACTCAACAGAAATATTGGTCAAAGGGTACCGACTCTCAGGTAGAAGATGAATAAGTCCTGGGGAATCTAACGCACAGCACGTCGACTATCATTATTAATACTGTCCTATTGCACACTTGAAATTTGCTAAGAGTCAAACTAGCAAAACCACACACACACACACAAAATGGTAACTATACGAGGTGATGGATGTGTTCAAGGTGATGGATGTGTTAATCAACTTGACTGTGGTAATCATTTCGCAATGTAAACATTTACTAAATCATCACCGGTGCCTTAAATGTATACTTTATTTGTCAATAATACCTCAGTAAAGCTGGAAATAGAAAAAAAAATGTAAAAATGCTCCTCTTGAAATGCCACCAATCTATAGTGACAGAAAGCAGGTCAGCGATCACCTGCAGCCAGGAACGGGGGGGAGGAGTGGAATGCAAGGGGTAGGGGCAAACTCTGGGGGTGCTGCAAATGTTCTCTATGGATTTCGGTGGTGGTGTCACATGGGTATACATCTGTCAGAAGTCACTGAACTATAACACTCTTTAAATGGGTGTGGTTCATTGCATATAAATTCTATCCCAAGTTGTTAAAAAGAATACACAGATTATACGAAGAATATATAACTTGCACATAAATTATCTCAGGTTGTTAATATCTTAGGTTGTTAAAAAGAATAATAACAAACCTAATACATAGGTTTAAAAAACTATTCCCCTTGGAGCAATGTCACAGCTATGACTGCGGTACTGGGATTCAACATCAGGTGGAATAAAGAAATAAGCAAACAATATCCACTTGCAGGAGCCGCCCCAGGTTGGGCGCCCGCTGAGAGGCTGAGCCATGCGACATTATCTCACAAGGACCAAGGGTCGATCTGGGCCTATGGCAGCTGAGTCACATTTGGTTCACTCTGAGGTTTGCTTGAGATTCCGGACTCCGGACTGACCGGCCACTCAACAGACCCTCTAGACGAGGGGTCACCGAGCCGAGCCCCAAAACTCACCCAGTACAAAGCTGGCCATGTTTAGGGGGGTGCCGCAGAGAACAATGGCGGGAGGGGCTCGGCTCTTACCATGGAAAACAAGTCCGTTCAGTCTTTCAAAAGGAAGGGAGGAGAAAAGGGGAAAAACACATATATCGGTGCTTACTTCGATACATGAAACAGAAGTTCAGAATTCTAATAGGGACAGACAATGAGTTTCTGTTTACTTTTCCTTTTGTGGGTCATGTTTTCGAAGCACAGCCTAGTTCCCTGACACAAGAATGTTCTGTGTTCCCAGGGAGGGCGCTGAGAAAGGCAGGAAGCTGTCCCTGATTTCTCAGTCCTTCTAGGAATCCTTCTGCGTCAAGAGTGACAGTCACGCTCAGGGGCAGGCAGAACGGGCGAGTGTCATGGGGTACGTAAGGCATCAACGATGTGAACCCACGTGCACTTGTGGGTACAAGGCAGTGGGTGTGCTGGAAAGACCGCGCATGTGCAGGGCACTCGGGGAGCCTGGCTTCCAACCCTGTCCCTTCGTGGACTAGCTGAGCGGGACCTGAGGAGGCTGCGGCGGCCTGTACTGCAAGGGTGTCAGAAGCTAGTGATGACCAACATCCTTTCCATCTCAAAGAAGCCACAATGTGAGAAATGAAACTGTGACCAGGGAGGCCAGAGTTGAATAAAGAGACCAATGGCCGTAAGGTTTTAGGGCAAGAAGTTTTACTTAATGCAAGGAACCCCATCCAAACGACCAGAGTTCCTAAGAAAAGGAAACAACTGCCTTTGCAAATGTAACCTGAACTATTCCAGACTTGAGGGGTCGCCCTTGGATTGTATCCCTGTATCATCACATAGAAAAAACATTTTATAAAAGTGGGAGTAGGAATCATAGGATTAATTTTTAAACATGCCTTTTTATATGGCATTAGATCATTTACTGTAAATAAAACTTATACCGCTGACAAGTGAAATTCCAAAAAAAGGAAGTGTTAACAAACTGCCAGGGAAAAAATGTCCACAGGGCTCAGCTTGTTGACACGCCCATTCTGGGCCCCACAGGAGGATCAAGCTCCACCTGGCCCCCCAGCCCTGATACCGTCCTCGCCCACGTGGAAGGCAGCACTTTGTATATGACCTTTAGCCTTTTGATAGATGAAGAAGGGGCGGGAGTAATGACTTAGTCCAAAGCAGAGAGACGACGCTGGCGGAAGGAAAGACTGGCCTTTAGCCATAAGCATTCAAGCCTTATGGTTTTAGATGATAACTTCCTTCTCTATGAGAATTACACAAATACGAAAAACAATGGGGAGATTTGTTGAGCTGGCAGCTTTGCAATGTTTGTGGGCTTCAGAGGCAGGGGTACAGGCAGAGGTCACAGTCCTAGAGAAAAACTCGCATATGTGCACAAGGAGTTGAGGACAAGGATTCTACCTGCAGCATAGAATGCAATAGCAAAAAAAAACAAAAAACAAAAAACAAAAAACAACCAAACAGCCCAACCACAGGGGACTGATTAAATAAATTCTGGGGTACCCAATACTATACCACAGTAGCTTAAAAAGATGAGACAGATTTATTTTTTACTGACATGAAAAAATCTCTAATATATTCTGGAGGGAACAAGGGGCAATTAAAACTACAATGAAATGCCATTTAAAACCCACCAGAAAGGCCAAAATTGGAAAGTCGGCCAATGCTAAGTCTTAACAAGGTGTGTGGCCACAGGAGGGAGTGGAACCACTTTGGTGAGGTTGAAAACGCATAGGCTCAACTCAGCAATTCCATTTCTAGGTAGGTTCCATTCTTGCATACGTGCACAAAGAGAGAAACTTTAGTAATAGCAAGAAACAAAACAAACTAACCAAAAAAACTGAAAGCCACCTAAATACCCACCAAGAGTAGAACTGATGAACAAAACGTAGTCTATGCATACAAGAAAAGACTATATGGCAGTAAAAAAATGAGTGAACTATCACTTTATGCAGCAACATAGAGGAATTTTAAAAATTGTGTCAGGTGAAGAAATCAAGCTGCACAAGAATCTATAAAGAATGATGTCATACACATCTAGAGAGAGAGAAAGTAGGTTAGCGATTGCCTAGGGCTGGGAGGGGGTTGGGAGGGAACGGGACGTGACAGTTACTGGGTATGGGCCTTCCTCATGGGATGATGAAACTGCTCTAAGACTGGCTCTGGTGATGGCTGTGCAACTCTGGATACACTAAAACCCACTGAATGATACACCTTAAATCAGCGAATTGTACACTAGGTGAGTTATATCTCAATAAAGCTGTCCAAAAAAAAAAATGATGCAGAAGTAAACAATGTACTATTTAGAGTCACATACATTTATGATCAAATTATAAAGAAAAGCAAAGGAAGGGTCAACATAAAATCAGGTTGGGGGTTCCCTGTAGGAATGACACACAAGGTTGAGGCTGATGTGGGCTTTAGGGCCTTGGTAAATTCCATTACTTAAGCTGGGTGATGAGTATGTGGTTATTAATTTGTTACTATGTTTTATACTGAAATATATATATTATATATATATATATATATATATATATATATATA